TAATCTCTGACTTGGGAAGAGATAGGAGACGCAAGGAGAGACTTCGCCTGATCACAGGCTGACACACTGCTGTGAGATGCGTGAGCTGAAGAAGAAGAAGAAGAAGAAGAAGAAGTAACATCATCTCAAGGTAATCAACGAGCAGCTCTTAGCATCGAGCGAAGCACAGACACTATCAACAACTGTTGCTGCAGCTTCTGTTCTGTCTGCTGATGTAAGATCTGCTGTGTGTGTACGCCAAGTCAGGGTGAAGGGAAATGCCTGTATCATCTGCCTCCGCTGCTGCTGCTGTGTCAATGTTTTAGTGAAAGTTAAAAGGTTTTCAAACTCACTCGATCCAAAAACCCATTGAAACTCATTAACACCTCAAAAATCATCATCATCATGCTCCGGTCACTGCTCCTCAGTCGAGGATCAACAGGATGGAAACCGCTGGCGAGCAGGTAAGTTCTAAAACTGTTTACCTTTTTAGCATCAAAAATTTAACATTTCTCATTCCCCAAACACCAGCAGAAACCACCTGTCAACATCAGCCTCACAAAGCAAAGCTGATCAACCCTCAGTTGATCAACAACTTTACATTGACCCCGCCGTCCCTCGAAAGCCCATCAGTCGCTTGCTGATTGCCAACCGCGGCGAGATTGCCTGTCGCATCATCCGCTCCGCCCGTCGGCTGGGAATCGAAACAGTGGCCGTCTTTTCCGACGCCGACCGGCGGGCGATGCACGTCGCCCAGGCCGACCAGGCCTACCACATTGGCCCGTCGCCGGCCACGGAGAGCTACCTCGGTAAGAGAGAAAAGAGTCGAATTTTTTTTGTAAAACTCATATTTTTTTCCCTCTCTTTTCTAGTCAAAGAAAAACTCCTCGAGGTGGCCCAAAGGTCCAGCGCGGACGCCATCCACCCCGGCTACGGCTTCCTCTCGGAGAGTACCGAATTCGCCGCAGCCTGCGCCTCGGCGGCCATCAAATTCGTCGGCCCCTCGCCGGCGGCCATTCGCTCGATGGGCATCAAATCGCTCTCGAAGGCGATCATGGCAGAGGCGGGCGTGCCGGTCATTCCCGGCTTCCACGACGATTCGATTCAGGGGGAGGAAGCCCTGCTGAAGGAGGCGCGGAAGATTGGCTTTCCGGTGATGATCAAGGCGGTGAGGGGCGGCGGGGGGAAGGGCATGAGAATAGCCGCTGAGGAGGCGGTCTTTCTGGAGGCCCTTCAATCGGCGAGGAGGGAGGCGTCGAAGGCTTTCGGCGACGACGTGGTCCTTCTGGAGCGTTTTGTCCGTCGGCCGCGGCACATTGAGGTGCAGGTCTTTGGGGATCAGCATGGGAATG